TTAGACTTAATATGGATATGACTTTAGCGTTTTCTCTAAAAGTAACAAGAATTCAAAAATGAAGAAAGCATAAAATTAAGTGTTCAATAAAATTTAAGCTAATAATAAATGGAATACAGTTTATATATAATATGCTTGTATATTATATATTATATGCTTTATATATTAGCGAAAATGTTCGCTAATATATAAAGCAAGTATCACTGGAGTTACGAAGGTTTTTGTGAAAGTGTTGGATCTATAATTTAACAATTGATCAATAGTCCCATATATTGAATTTTGCTTCTGTTTTATATTATTCTATTTGAATATTTATAAATGGATTCAGGTTAAAATTTTCATTTAGATTTTGATTCCTTATTCATTAATGAAGAATAAGCTTATCCTTAATTGAAGTTGGTTTTAATTCAGGGTTTGTTTTCTATATAATAAGTTATATGACTGTCATTTGATTATTGGGCTAGTAAAACATAGCTAATTATATAGATATTACTTACTTTGGACTAAACTTAGATAGTTACATTACATTACATTTTAATTAAATTTAATAATTTGAAATAAATTAATTTAGATCTTTCTGGAAGTAAAGATGGATAGTATATTTTGTAAATTAATTAGTTTGGAATCTAATAATATTGGAGGCAATCTGGATAGTATAATTGGTAATTGTATCTGCAGATTTAAGTCCTTTGGATCATTTTTTTTTTTCAGAACAGTAATTTTATTTTTAATTATTAAATTTAATATAAGATGGTTGCAAAATTGTCTACCTTTAGTCCAAATTATGTAATATCTGTGTAATTAATTAGCCAAATTCTAGTGTTATGGTTAATCCAACTTTATGATTTGGTTAGAAGTTAAATCCTTTACTTGAATATTTGAGAATTTTTTTTCTAGATTCAGAAATGTCTGTAATACAAATATATAGCCACTTGTAGTAAGTACATTATATTGATGTATTAATTTCTTCATTAGCATAATTAATACATTTTATTATGTTTATTTGTACAATGGAAAATTGCATTAAAGTCTTAAATATTTTTCTGTGTAGTTTCCATGGCATGCAATACAAGCATTTTAATGCTTTAGAAGTGCATGGATATTCTGAAGAAATTCTTTTGGCTGTGAGCATAGCTACTTGTGAACTGCCTGCTTCACCTTATCAGTCTTGAAAGACTTGCCTCCTATCACCTCTTTGAGCAGTCCAAAGATCTGCTTCAAAGCACCAAAGAATTTTCTCACAGGCATTAACACTTCATTTTTTTAATTCTGCAGTTAGCTGGCATAGCATCCACCTTGCAGAAACTTTATTAAACTGCAGAATATCATGGACAATATTGTGTGCTGATCCATGACTCATATCCTTACAGACAGCTATTTCATTTACTATTGTGTGCTTATTTTACTTTACCATTAGCTTCAACTGCTGCAATGGCAAATACTCAGTGTGCCTGACCTGGTCTATCACAGAAATAATGCCATCTAGAAACTTCTAGTCCATTTTTACACTTGCTTATAGATATGCATCACCATACTAAACTTTTATTCTATGAGTTTTAATGGATTTGGTCTTTCTCTACTCAAAAAGGAATGACAGAATAGTGTTCCTCTTTTATGCATTTTGCAAGCAGAGCTGCAAATTTTAAAATAGCATTTAAGAAAGTTGTATATAGAACAGAATCTGACCAACTAGAGATTTTAATCAGTTTTCTGCACTATTAATTCTACATGCAACCATAGTCACATGCATTCATCTCAATAAAAATAGAGGAAAACTTTCCTGAAGCAGAATGCATCAAAATCAAAAATTGGTTTTGCCTCAAATGGTTGCATGTAATGTATGTTACTGCAAGTTTGTTTCAAAGAAGAGCATCATTATAGTCAATCAAAAGTTGTAACTGAAGACAAAAATTAATGCAGCCTCAAAAAAATTCTTAACTCTGATGGATTTCTGAGTTTGTTATAAACTAGTTGGGTTATATGTAGTATATTTCTAATTATTAGAAATACTATGAAATTAGATACCTGATGATAGAATTTTAATATGTTACCTAAATAATACATATTTGATATTAATTCCAAATGATTTGCTTGCCCACCCCTGTATTATAAAAGAGTTCAGTGGGAGCCAAAATGTAGGTTTTGCAAAATGCATGGGAGCTGCAGTTCTGTACTGCGATTTTATTATATAATATAAATATAAAACAAACATTGAATTTTTTTAATAAACATATTTTCACAATTTTGTGAAAATAAAATTGTAAAAATAATAGTAAAAAGCAGAAATTAACACTTTCAGCAAGAGCCACATGCAGCTCTCGGAGCTACATTTGCCCATGTCTGTTATAATACATAAGGCAAGTTTTAGGCTACTACTGGGCATATTTGATAATTTTTTCAGTTTAAATTTTATTTTAACAATTTTATTATAACAGTGTGCATGTAAATAATGTATTTATTTAATAAACAATTTCTCTATTTTGTTTATGCATCAAAATTCATTAACATTTATTCTTTCATTCTAAAGAAGAAAAATATTAAGCTGGATTTATAATTTTAATATAAAATCACAGGGATTAATAATAAACACTCTTCCTCAGATCCTTTCTGTAAAGACTCTGCTAAAATTCTTTTCTACAGACAGTTTTATTTATCCTAATATTTCTTCATACATCTGGTTTCTTTTAGTTCAACTCAAGGAGGAAGTCCTCATACTTTTTCATATTTAAACTGTAATTCTTTAATGATAATTTCCAAATAGTTATCACAATATAAGCCATTCACATTTCTCTGAGATTGAGGATGTTATAAAATGTTCTTTATATATGGAAGAACACATACATTATATATATATAATCATTGTTTGTGTGTTCAAAATATTCTGCATTGTAGTAATGTTTGTCTAAAGCAGTCAGTACCAAAATGTATCAGTAGGTGATAATCTATTGATATATCTACTAGCACATTTGTGAGTCAGTGTGCTATTTGTGTAGATCTAGACACAGTTATGATTAATAATGATTGTTTTCATGCAGGCATTATCTGGCAATTTTCGAGATGGATCTAAAAAGGAACAAACTTTACAACCAATTTTGTGCAAAACTGGGTTAAAGTGCAACAGACCCTGGTAATGACTTAATAAGTGATTGATGAGAAATTGCTTGATCATACATGTGATTTAGTAGCATGCATAGCTATAGACAGGTTGAGCATTGGTTGACAGTGATCATACAGGAGGATCCTCAACCAGCACAGCTCTTCGAAATGTTTAAAAAATTCAGCAGCTCGCTCATGAGAACTGAATCCATGTTAGATCATTCGTGACCTTTGTAAGGAGGTAGAACTTGGTTATGGGACAAGCACTGCATTGCAATCACATTTGTCCCCAAGCTCTTGAGTGACCAAATACAAAAATGCATTGAAGTCTGCACTAAATTCTTCAGTTCTCCTCAGAGGATGAAACTTTCTTGATCATGGTCATTGTGGTGAGAGCTTGGTTAATTGTTATAACCAGAAATAAAGCAACAACTATCCCAATGGAAATGTCCAGACTTGTTGAAATAACAAGGCTAGATAGGCAAAGAGCATACTAATTTTCTTTGTCATCAAGGGAATTGTAGATAAAATATATCTGTTCTAGCTAGTCAAACTGTGAATTCCAACTTATATTGTGATGTTTTATGGAGATTAGGGTGATATCTTCTCAAATCTTTGCCAAGATAAAAACTTGTTGCTTTGTTACAGTGGTAAAGCGTGACAGTTTTTTGGCAAAAACAACATAACTGTTGGACAAATTTGACAGAGGGTGGAAGACATCTGTAACATGTATTTCCAAAAATAAAATCGAGATAAAAGAGCATTGTTTTGAATCATTAAATATATCAGTGTCACAGGTGATACTTGATATTCTGAAATTTGGAGAACCATATACAAGGGAACTTCTTTGACAGTGATGATGATAATAGGGTTATGAAAAGATTAAAATTTTTTATGGCATCAGTCCAAAATAATTGATATCCCCTCATATTTTTTGATTGATATAGAAATTAAATATGAATTTATTTACCAAATGCTAGATGTTATGTAACATTTAGTCAACATTTCTTTTGCTTCTAGTCATAAAACATTAAATGCATTAAACTATCCAGTTACTGTTTAAACCAGCAACTGGATAATTTAATGCAACAAAAACATTTTAAGCCATTATTTACTGAGATGGTGGTGGTTTTTTAAAATGTTGAATGTGTTCCTTCTAATACTCAAATTTTTATTAAATGAATTTGTAATTAAAAATAGTTGATGCACTTCATTTTTAAAGTAATTTCAGTAAGGATATATAAAAATTCAAATCTTTTCAAATAAAATCTATGAAGTTGTTTTAACTATAGAAAAGAAATAATTGTTAAGCAGCAATTAGATTGTTTCATTTTTATGCCATTATGGAAAATTTAGAAGAATGGATTGGTTAAAATTTTGACTTGCCTATTTAAACAGTTTTATATATCAATAAATTAATGATTATTATGGAGAAAAATGTAATCAAATTTTAATAATTCCTTTTTAGTACAATTTTTCTTTTTTTTTTTTTTGTAGATAAGTTACCTAAGAAAGTTATTACAACCCATTAGATTATTAGATTAATTAATATAAAATTTATTATAGTAGTTTTTAATATTTTTGTTGTGTTGTACATTTTCAAGAGTTGTAAAGTTAGATGAGAAGTTTTTAAACTGTTAATTTAAAATACATTTAATATAATAATATGTAATTTTCTAGATCCTCATTTACAAGGATCTAGGATAATTAACAATTGTTGGAAAAAGGAAATCTCTACTATTTCCTCATAGTTAGGTAGAATGTGTAGATAGTAATCTCAAACTACCTTTTCCTCATTTATGTGATTATTTTAAAAATTGCTTGTACTTGTAAATTTTATTACAGATTCTAAAAAGTATAGCTGAGTATGCCTTATTTAATGATTTATGAAATTTTTTTAACAGTATGGGAGATCTGACAGTTATCGGGTGGCTGTCACACCGACTGTACCTGATGATGGAAGAACTCCTGATGGTCGACCTAAGTCAAAGAGGAGGAGGTTTGCGGGAAAGAATAAAAAGAAGGCTGACATGGAAGATCTTAAGCAGGAAGTGTCAATGGTAAATAATAATTTTTAAGCTTTTAATATTAGATTAAAAGATAAAATATAGTTATTATTTCAATTCAATTTTTATTTTAAATGTAAGAAAGTGAAAAATCAAATTAAAAACATTAATCTCAAATATAGAAATTGTTTTAATGGATTATTATAATAGTCTATTTTCTATGAGATTACATTTAACTGAATTAAGGTAATAAGAAAAATTTTCAATAAAAAATGAAATGTATAATAAAAAGTAAATAGGAAAGCACAACAATCTTCAATTGATAAAATTTATGAATATGTTCATCATATTAAAAATGTAATGTATTTACATGAATAATGTGTGTCCTTGAGTAATTATTTAACCCTTTTTTAATATATTAGTAAGGAAAAAATAATACAGTTGAATCCTGTTTGTTTTTCAAGAGAAGTGAGAAAATGTACAAGTGAAACTACTTTATATTCATTCCAAAAGAAATAAAAATCAACACCTTTAAACATTCAGCAAATCGTTTTTTAATATTTAATTATCGTTGGCATGGAAATCCTTCTACGATGAGTGACGTAATTTATGTAAGCGGGAAGATTATATAAGATAATTTTTATTGGATGCATATAATTTATTTTATTTCTTTATTTAGTTTTAACTTTTATAATTCTTAAGATTATTTAAACTTGGTAAATGTTAACGTATTTACATATATTTATGTAACCGCTTTTTGAATTTCGTTTTACGTAATTTTCGAATTTCTTCGTTCGATTCACAAATGTTAACTGACGATGATCGATTAAAGCGTTCGAAAGCGTTTTTAAATATTAAAAAACGATTTGCTGGATGTTTAAAGGTGTTGATTTTTATTTATTGTGTGGTTCCAATAAGGAAAGTATTTTATTCCAAAAGAAATTCAAATTATTACAAAAGTATGGTGTGACATAGATTAACACTCTAAATCAGGGATGTCCAGCCTGCAGGCCGCATGCGGCCCAAGGCAAGTTCCAATGCGGCCCAATAAACGTGTAAACAAAACCGAAAAATGTTTTAATTTTTTTATTTTTTTATTTCAAGGTCATAAACTCAAAAAAGAAGTTTCACAAAGTCGTAAACCTATGTTCATATTTTATTTTTGAGTGGAAAGGAAATATTTTCAAATACTTGGAGATGTGTGAATAAGAAAGAATTACTAAATAAAGCTGCAGTTGTGACTCAAAGGATTAGAGACCCAAATTTGGGGAAAGGGGGAAAAGGCGAGAAAAGCCAAAAGATAAAAAGTAGTGAGAAAGGTTAAATAGATCTTCTGTTATGCAAATATTGATGTTACTGTGAATAACCGATATCTGGCGAATGTCAACATTTTCTGGTGAATGTCAGCATTCACACAGTTGTTTTGTGTATGTACGAAATATTTGCTAAATATCATTATTTCTCACTTACACCGGCAAATGTCGACATTCAGCATGCACTGATGGTGAATGTTGAATAAAAATATTTTTAAAAACAAACTATTCTCCACACCTCAATAATAATAACATACACTGAACCAATTTACGGTGTGGTACGATAAACGATGCAAAAAATAACGAAAAACAAACGTTTTCGAACCCCTTCTGGGCTCTTCATCAGGTTCTTACAATTTTAGCTCATAAATTCGAATAACGAATGTCGTTAAAATAAGTTCGATCTTCAGTTCGAATCCTTCTTTCAAACTTATACGACGCGTCATATAAGTTTGAAAGAAGGATTCGAACTGAAGATCGAACTTATTTTAACGACATTCGTTATTCGAATTTATGAGCTAAAACTGTAAGAACCTGATGAAGAGCCCAGAAGGGGTTCGAAAACGTTTGTTTTTCGTTATTTTTCGTCGTTTATCGTACCACACCGTAAATTTGGTTCAGTGTATGTGATTATTATTGAGGTGTGGTGAGTAGTTTGTTTTTATAGTTTAGCAACGCCAGCTAAAATCTACCGTAGAACAGTCATAGGCCTAACTAGGGCCAGAGCTTGTCTGCAGTTCTTGTTGGAATGTAAAAAAAACAATGTCGTACCCATGTCCTTTTTCCGGATACACNCAAAATTGAATATTAAAAAGATTTGCAAATATTGAGTCTTAATTTTCCAACCTTTCTCACTTCTTTATCTTTTGTCCTTTCTCTTCTTTTTCCGCATTTGGCTCTATAATCTTTTGAGTCACAACTCCAGCTTTATTTAGTATTTCTTCCAGCGTTGCACGATTCGGCTACTTTGCGCCAAATTTGGCTACCCTTTTATTAGTTTGATGTAAAAAATATCAGTTGGCACATTGGCTACTTTTTGGGCTAACATATTATTTATAAATATATTAGTTGAATAAAAATGCACTTTAAAATGGTGCTTTTTGTCGCGTTTTGTTTAATAGACTCAAAGTAAAAGACTCAAATAAAACAAATATTTGTGTTTTTCAAATAAATTTTCGTTTGACTCTTTTATAATAAATTTATCTATTTCTAAGTAAAAATTGAAAGTGTCTATAAAAGTAATTTTCTAAAATATCCTTTTTCATGATAAAGTTTTAATACTTATTATAATCTAGACATGTTAGTCCTTAAATATACTTGTATATTGGGTCACAAGTATATATTACAGTAATACCCCGAACTTACGCGATAAGTGGGACCGAGCGATAACCGCATAAGTCGAATTTGCGCAAGTCAGGGTATAATTTTGCAATTTATGTAAAATCCAAGTCGGATGTATGTAAGCTAATAAATGTTCTCGTTAATCTTATCTCGTCTTTTGATTCGTTCACNATATTTCCTGAGAAGAAATCTCATCTATAGAAAGTAACTTTTCTTTACAAATTACGAACTGATTACGTTATTACGTGATTACGAACTGATCTGTTAATGGTGCCTTTTATTCGGATATCGCCGACGCCTTACCGACGACCCCTCTCATCCTCCGCCACTCAACCTGACAAACCGATCCCCACCTCACGGGATTGAAAGATTTTGCCCTACCTCCGGCCACTCACAAAGGATTTGGCGACAGACTGTTGCCTCTCTGTCGACATCGGCTTCTCAGGTGTCGTTTCGACCTCCACCAAAGCTTATCTGTGCTTGTCGACATAAACCGGCGATTGTTCGAATGTATAATAATATAACCAAATATTTGGACTTTCATCGACGTATTTTGTATTATTCGGACATTCACCAGAGAATATCGACATTCTCTAATTTTGGTCTTTCACAGTAACATTGATTCTTAATTTTACACCTTTCTCACTTCTTTATCTTTTGTCCTTTCTCTTTTTTTCCTGGCATTTGGGTCTATAATCTTTTGAGTCACAACTCCAGCTTTATTTATTATTCCTTCCAGCGTTGCAAGATTTAGCTACATTGCACCAAATGTGGCTACTTTTTTTAGTTTGATGTAAAAAATATCATTTGGCGCTTTGCCTACTTTTTGGGCTACATATTATTCATAAATATGTTAGTTGAATAAAAATGCACTTTAAAATAGTGTTTCGTCACTTTTTATTAATTAGAGACCCAAATAAAACAAATATTTGTTTTTTTCAAATAAATTTTCGTTTGTCTCATTATATTTATAATAAATTTATCTATTTCTAAGTAAAAATTGAAAGTGTCTGTAAAAGTAATTTTCTAAAATATCCTTTTTCATGATAAAGTTTTAATACTTATTATAATCTAGACATGTTAGTCCTTAAATATACTTGTATATTGGGTCACAAGTATATATTACAGTAATACCCCGAACTTACGCGATAAGTGGGACCGAGCGATAACCGCATAAGTCGAATTTGCGCAAGTCAGGGTATAATTTTGCAATTTATGTAAAATCCAAGTCGGATGTATGTAAGCTAATAAATGTTCTCGTTAATCTTATCTCGTCTTTTGATTCGTTCACGGTTACAAGAAATCACCACATATTGTCTCTCAAGTCTCTGTAGATATAACAAACACAGAAAAAAATAACTCAAAATAAATTGTAGCTATGTGTTGATTCTGTGCGGCACATCTGAACATGTAAGCTGAACAATAGTGTGAGGGGAGTGAGTAATCAAGAGTTGCATGGCGCTCAAACAAAAGATGAATCGACGAGATTTGAAAATCGCATAACTCCGAGTTCGCATAAGTCAAGGTATTACTGTATATAAACTTGTGGCCCAAAACTCCTTGACTTCTTCCAATGCGGCCCAGAGAAATGAAAAGGTTGGACACCCCTGCTCTAAACTGAATTTGTAGGTATAATACTTAAAGAAATTCTGTATTTAAATATATTTGAACAACATATAATAAAATGAATTTCACACTAAGTTTTCCATCATACATTTTAAAAAATTGAATAACTTTTGTTGTTACTATTTTTTTTATTGTCACAAAGTGGTACAGTATGTGACATCAGTTGTGAAAGAACAAAAAGACATTCTAAAGGTTAGTTCACACTGATAGCAAATAGTGAAAACAAATGAGAAACCGGAAAGTGATTTTAATTTGCTTAGTGAAATTGATTCACACTACAAAACAGGGAAAGTGAAAATTTTTAACATTTTGGATTAGCAGAGTGATTTGCTGAATGGGAAAATTCATTAGAAATGCCATCACATGTTATGTATTATCTGCCTTGTTTTTTTGCATTTGCTGGCAATTTTCTGTCACTGTGGATTAACCTGAAGTGAGTACGTAATTGACCTTTTCACTTTTTAATAATTATTTTAAATTTTTTAATTTTAAGATGAATAATGCATAAGTGAGAAAAAGTGCTGTAGTGTACCAAAAAATATGACACAAGTACAAAATCTTATAAGTGAAAAACATAACTGAAGTGTAATGTTTTTCACTTACAAGTGCTTTGACTTACAGTATATAACTTTAAGTGTTATAATGGAGAAAGTGCTGTGCAGAAAATAGTGTGTAATTGTGAAAAACATAGGACTGAGAAATGTATAAGCATAGTTTGACTATAATAATAATAAACTTAACCAATTACTTGTTAAACTTTGCTAATTTATGGTATTATTAACACAATAAACTATCTGTGATGGTATGGTCTGAAAGCCATAGCATTAGGAGTACCTCTATGAATGACTAATTATCTTTGTTGTTGTCATTAGAACTAATGTCTGAATCATTGCCCCAAAGTAAAATCATCATTTGATCTGTTGAGTACATTTGAAATGCCATAGACTAATGGTTCTCAAAATTATTAATCCACAGATCACTGTGTTCTTGTCTATTTCTTATCTTGTAAATATTATCTTAGATAATGATAGACAAAACATTTTGGCATAATCTATTTGGCAACCTAATGTAATGCATAAAAATTTTTTTCTCTGGCTAAATGGCATAGAATTTCATTTTGAAAATGTAGCTAGGTCAGTCTGTGGACAACTGATGGTCTTTGAGAGGTTCTGCTGTATACTACTATTAAACTTTCCACTGAAAACTATGGTGATATCAATGCTTAGGCAGTATTAATCTACTCATATCATCTCAATGCCCAATTGCTTTATCTTTCCTGATGGCACATGCAAATGTTTTTTTTCATCCACTGAGTGTATTGATCCTTTGTAGCAATTTTGAACAGCTTATTAATGTAGATATCTGGGTCACAGTACAAATGATTAGGCTTACCAGACGTTTCGCTTTGACTGGGACTTTCCCGGTTTGATGATGTGGTCCCTGCGTCCCAGCCAGTTTGACAATTTGTCCAGATTATTTGGTAAAATTTTAAGTGCCAAATATATGAGATGTAAAAATAGTACAGCCTCGGGTAAAATGGGGATTTGGTAATGAAAATATCCCCTCTGTTACACTTGCTGTTGCCAATCTAAATATTTTGTATCTAGATAAGTACAGTACTTTTAATGTTGTTTAGATTTTTTCCCCCAAAATTTTATAGCATGTGTCCTAATGAATTTAGACGTTTTATTTTTTCACAGAATTTACAATATTGTGTAGCCCTTGAGATTTAGATATTTTTATATCATTTTTTAGATATTTTTGTTTCAATTAGAGTTGGCAACACAAACTTACACTGGCCACATCATTATTGCGCATGTCCTATCTTAGTTGAGTTCAAATTGCTAGTCAGCATTTGTGATTTTTTTGAACTGTACATTAAACTAATTTAATCTTCAAAATGCCAAAAGAAACTATGTTTACTGATGAATTTAAAAAGGATTATCCATCTTTGAAAAATTTGTGATCATATTGACAAAGTGAACTGTGCTTTTCAGAAATTTCAGTAGCTTGTGGTAGGTGTTTGGACATTAAAAATCACTTGAAATGTGCGAAACATAAGGCAAGCCTAGTAGCAGCAGAAGGAACTTTCTCAAATATATTGTCATATTTTAAAGGTACAGATTTATTTTTTGTTGTGAGTATTTTCTCAATTTTTCTCAGAGAAAAAAAATATTATGGTAAGCCTACAAATAGTCCTTCAATGCAAGTCTGTACACAAGGACAATCTTAGAGGTTTAACCTCTGTTTGGGAAATATTGAAAAATTAAATAAAATTTTGTATCTGTTTGGTTTCTTTAGTCCTATTATCTTATTCCACACAGTTATATTGTAAAAATTAATAAATTGTATTATAAACTAGCTTACCCGTCGCACATTGCTGCGATCTCAGAAGAAAGGAAATTCAAGCAAACTTGTTATAATAAAATTCAATTTACATTTTATCATTTTTATTGAAACTTATTATTATTATATTATTATTATTCGTTTTCATCGGGAACACGTTTCAAAGTGTCGTTTCAATTCTATTTATTTATTGGAGTGCTTGTGGATACACGATATTTTTTGTTTTTCCGTCTTATTCATACACAAATAAATCAGAAGGTTTTTGGACACACGAGCTGGCCACATACAGTTGTCCATGTGAGAAGCACGGATTCTCCAAATTTAGCCCACACATTTGCAGTGATTGTCAGAAGTGCGATATTTCCCATTTTTATATATTTTTTTTAATCCTTTACAATTTTAATTATTTAATTGCTCCTTCTCTCTTCCTTGGCATCATGTGAAATTTCTGATAGTTGGATAATAAACCGTTTTATTTGTAATTTGTCTTTTTAAATTATTGTGAGTCAATATTAAAATCTGGAAAAGGGGTATACGTAGATCGGTAAAATAGGCAAATTTCCTCCTACAACTTCGGTTGTTGTTCGGGATACAGTTAAGGTTTTAACAAAGTTTGAGCAAATACGTAATTAACAAAAAATAGTTGAAATAAAGTGATTAAACAAAAATTATTACAAATATCGTAAATAACAGTTCACAAATGCATATATAGAGATTTTTTGGAGGGGGAGAAATGGTCTTCACAATTTGAAATCGACTGAACTCACGATGCTCGTATACACTCGTGCCATCTATTGTAGGATAAATGTACTGTGCCAGAAACCTTTGCGGGAGTGTATTAAAAAACTTCCCAAAGTTTCATGGCAATCGGATAAACGGTGTGGTAATGCATGAAGGACAGACACACACACACACACACACACACACACACACAAACAAACAAACAAACAAACTCATTTTTATGTATATAGAAAATGGGTGTTCAGGTTTCTTTTAAATCTCCAGTCTTTAAAAAATTCTATGACTGGATCTGCTCCAGGAATGATTACCTGATCAGTTTTTTAGGACTGCAGAGCTTTTTTTTTACATCATTGTATGTCCATAAACTATCAAGAGCCAGCATTGCTGTAGACTGATTATTCAGCTTTACAGTTTATCAGATTTACTTTGAATAAACTGGTAGACCCTAACTTTTTTTAAAAAGTGCATGGATTATTTGAGTTGAGTAGATAATACTAGTTTTTTAAAATATATATTTTATTACTAATATTTTTTAAATGGTTGTTGTAAAAGCATTGATTACTTTGTTAAATATAAATATTGAAAAGTTAAAATTTTGTACAGGTAACCCCCATATAACACGGCACTTCTATAGCACGGATTCACTCTAACACGGTTTGAGAATTGGATAAAAACCTCATACAACATGAAATGTAATAAAGGGTGTGTTCTTTTACTTCCACGTAACTCCACACGAGCATTCTAATTGTTTTCATGGCTACTTTGAATGCTCTTTCAACAAATAATCTATGTAATGGTTAAATTTTACAATTGGGACCCTTCTTTTGCCTCTAAAAGCTCATTTTAGAATTATAGATTCCTCCATCACGTTACTATTGATAGTGCAGGCGCAGCCATCTTTCTTTCACTGTTGTTCCTAAATGCCTACAAGCAGCAGTGCACTCCCCTTGCAGAGTGACTGGTATTAACAAACGTACCCAAAAACTGTTACCAGTTGATGATGATCATGCTGAGATCATCATATAGGATGAATAATCCTCTGGTAAAATATTTACTTAAATAATAAATAAAGTATTTTACCTATGAAAAAAATGAATAATAAATCTGATTTTAAATAAGGATTTAACAGCATGTTTTTTAATTTTTGGAACCTAACCCCCTTTTCGCACTAGTTCTTTGTACAAAAACTCACAACTCACCACACTTATATATCAAACACGTACACTGAACCAATAAAAAACCAATTTACGAGCTAAAAAGCTAAAGGAACCTGAGGAAGAACCTAGAAGAGGTTCGAAAACGTTTGTTTTTGTTTCGTCGTTCGTACCACACATTATATTGGTTCAGTGTACGTGTTTCTAGTTCTTTGTTTCGTATAACATGGATTTGCATAACACAGCAATTTTTTGGAATTTAACTCCCGTGTTTGTTATATGGGGGTTACCTGTACTTAGGTCATAGAATCAAAAAAAAGCATTACATTTATTCATTTAGATTTATTAATATTTAACTTATAAATTAAGAATATGCATTTAGAAAATATCAGTAACAGTAATATAAATAAGTAGAAATCCAAAATTATATTGAATTTACATTTATAAATATTTTTTTAATGAAGGGAAAAACATGTCTAAGTATATTTTCCACAGCAGCACTCAGTCGAAAAAGAAAAACATGACAGAAAAAAGAAAAAAGCATGTTATTTGTAAAACCAATTGATATTTCAATTTATATATTTGAATTGAAAAATTCGGTCTATAAAACTTATTATAGACTAAATTTTTAGTGAAATTAAGTTATTGTGAACCGCTGGGGAGGATGTAGGTCTCCTGATCTGGCAACAGGTTGCTAAACCTTCTCACTGTCAGGATGGATTAAAATTTTTCCTTTTTCCTGCTGTAACGGGATTTAATGTTTCGGGTCGAGTAGTGGAGGGAGGAGTGCTGTCGGTAAGATGACAGGCTATATAAGAGTAAAAGAGGACACCAATTTAACAAGGAAACAACGCTTTATTAGCTACATATACACTACAATAACCATTATCGAGGGGAAAAATCTTGAATCCCTAAAACGTGAAGGGCTGAGAGAGAGTTCACAAAAATTTGTTCCATACCTCTTTCTGATGATAATCCTTTGAGGAAAATATATATTTCTCTTTGAGGAAAATACGATTAGATGTAATATTCGTAGGACACAATATTTGTAGGATATAAGATTCGTAGGACACAATATAACTGTTGATGAACGATTCCCCCAAGAGGGGGAAGCAAGTGGCTTTTATAGTTTCATCGTGGGAGACTGGTCATGTGATTAAGTGTTATGAGGTAAAAGGTATGCGAATGGGTCAAAGTTGTCCCCGGGCCCATGCTAACTATCAACTTTGGAGTTGGAATGTGAGATTAGTTTCGAAATGGACGGATGTTTACTTTGAACGAA